GTACGACCTATTTTGAAAATATCCGCCTTGCGAAAACTCTTGCATGTTTTTGGCGCCACCTCCTGGACTACTAGGGAAATGTGGAAAAATTTAAAGTTGTTACTTCCTAGTAAAAATTCTACAGTACCTGATGAAATTTATTTTGAAAATCAAAAAATATCTGATGAATTAACCATTGCAACAGAATTCAATAGATATTTTATAAATAGCATTCAGGAAATTGTAAATAATATCCCAAAATATCCCCTCTTAGGTGAAATTTCAGCAGATATCTCTAATGTATCCTGTAGTGAGTTTTCTAGATTCAAACAAATATCATTGACTGACATGAAGGGTATTCTAAAGGACATGAAAAATGTTGGGGGTGGTGATAGTGGAATTTCTAAAGGGGTTTTGTGTGATGTTTGTTATGCTGTTGGAGATCGTTTGTTGAATGTTATAAATGCGTCCCTCTCAACCGGGGATTTTCCGGAGGCGTGGAAGGAATCCACTGTCATCCCTGTCCCTAAAGTTGCAGGTACGAATCTGTGCAATGAATTCAGGCCAATAAACACCGTCGAAGTATATGAGAAAGTGCTAGAGCTCGCTGTTAAAAATCAGCTTCAAAATCATTGTAATAAAAATGAAATATTGGTGAGTCATCAGTCGGATTTCCGTGAGAGTCATTCGTGTGAGTCTGTGGTTATAAATATATGTGATGTATTTCTGAGGGAAATAGATAAGGGTAATTTCGTACTGGCAGTATTCTTGGATTTCAAAAGGGCTTTTGAGACTGTAGATAGGGACATTTTATTAAGGAAACTAAACGATATCGGCATTGGGCACACAGTATTGCAATGGTTCAAATCATATCTGAGTAACAGACATCAAAGGGTGAAATTTAAGAATTCTATGTCAGATTCCTTACTGGTTCAGTATGGAGTACCACAGGGAACCGTTTTGGGTCCGCTGTTATTTCTACTCTATATAAATGATATCGTCAAAGTTGTGAAGGGATGTAAAATTGAATTGTTTGCTGACGATACAATGATATACTTGGCTGGAAAAGATTAGTTCAGATGCAAAAAATAGGAAACACTGATTTAAATAATTTGTTTAAATGGCTTTGCCACAACAACTTAAGTATTAACACTCCGAAATCAAAATGTTGTTTATTTGGGAAAAAATATAGTCTGAAAGATGTTAATCTAGAAAGCATAAATATTATTATGAATAACGAAAAAATACTTCATGAAAATCAGATTAAATATTTAGGAGTCATATTCGATTCATGTTTAAATTTTTATGCACATGCAGAGTACATAACGAGGAAGTTTTCCAAAAAAGTAAACTTTATTGGGAGGATAGGCAATAAGTTGTCAATGGCTACTAAATTGCTAATCTATAAAAGTATAGCAACTCCACACCTTGAATTTTGTTCCACCCTCTTGTTCAATTTGCCTAATTTTAAGATAGAGCAGTTACAGATTGTTCAAAATAGAGCAATGAGAACTATTCTAAGATGCAATAGATATACCCCAATTGCAACAATGCTTAACATTTTAAATGTCTTTTCTGTCAAGCAAAAAGTTACGTACAGCGTCCATGTTTTTCTGTTTAAAATTAAGAACAAAATGTTACCGTCTTATATCTGTGATAGGGTCAAGTTTTTTAAAGATGTACATAGTTATAACACCAGAAATTGCAATGACTTTGTATTGTCAGATAAGTGTTGCACCACCCAAATGCTCAACTCGGTTCTATATAGAGGTTTACATGATTTCAATAAGTTACCCAACAATATAAAAGACTGTGATAACCTAAAAATGTTCAAAACATTAGTGAGAGATCATCTGTTGTGAAATTTGTTTTATATCGTTTATATTGTCGTTTTATTTTATTTTTTATACTTATTTATTTATTTATTTTACAACTATGTGTATTTATTGTTTGAATGTTTTTTATTGAATCCTTTTTAATGTGTTAATTTATTATTATTATTATTGTAACTACCTAGGATATAATATTTTATTGATTTGTTTTTGTATTTAGCATATTTGCTCAATAAAGATTATTATTATTATTATTATTATTAATTTTTTATGATTTTCGTGATTTCTGTTATTTTTTTAATTCCCGTAATTTCCGATAATTTTTTGCAATTCTACGTAATTTTTGAAATTCGCGTAATTTTTTTCAATAATTTTCATTGTTTTCCGTAATACTCGATTTTTTTCTAATTTTATAATTCTTCTCTCAATTTTTTTAATAATTAATATAATTTCCATGATTTTTTCAAATTTTTGTGATTTTTGTTAATATTTTTCTATATTACGTAATTTTCCAATAATTTTCGTAATTTTACATAATTTTTGACATTTCCATGATTTTTTTTCGTAATTTTATAATTCTCCGAATTTTTCAATAATTGTAATTCCCGTATTTTTTGAAATTTCCGTGATTTTTTGTAATATTCGTTATTTTTCATTTTTATAATTCCTGTAATTTACGTAATTTATCAATGACTTTTGTAGTTCTACGTAATATTTGAAATTGCCAATAATTTCCATTGCTTTTGTAATACTCAAATTTTATAATTCTGCTTTTTAGTTTTTTATAATGGTGGTTTCCGTAACTTTTTAAATTTTCCGTAATTTTTGCAATTCTCGTAATTTTTGAAGTTCCCGTGATTTTTTTCGTAATTTTATATTTCTCCTAATTTTTTTCAAATTTAATTTTCGCAATTTACCCATGATTTTCGCAGTTCTACATAATTTTTGAAATTCCCGTGATTTTTGTAATCCTCGTGATTTTTGTAATTTTTTCGTAATTTCCGTAATTTGCTAATGATTTTGGCAATTTCACGTAGTTTTTGAAATTCCCGTAATTTTTTAAAATAATTTACATTACATAAGTATTTCCATTCCCGTTTTTTTTTGTAATTTTGCAATTCTCATTTTAATTTTTCAATAATTGTGCTGTAATTTTTTCAAATTTTCATGATATTTGCAATTTTAATGATTTTTGTTATTTTTTTGTAGTTTCCGTATTTTATGTAATTTTTCAATTATTTTTGTAATTTTGCATAATTTTTGAATTTCCAGTATTTTTCAATTTTTTTTATTTTCATTGCTTTTGTAATACCCGATTTTTTTGTAATTTTTTAATTTTCCTCTTAGTTTTTTAATAATTAATGTATTTCCCGTGATTTTTCAAAATTCCCGTGATTTTTGCAATTTTTCCGATTTTTTTCATTTTTTCGCAATCCCTGTAATTTTTGAAATTTCTATAATTTTTTAATTTATTTTTATTAATTCTATATTTTCCGAATTTCTGTATTTTCCGTAGTTTTTTAATGGAATTTTTATAATTTTCCTAATTTTTGTGATTTCCGTAATTTTTTGAGGAATCTTCGCAAATTCGGTAATTTTTTGATTTTTTCGTAGTTTCTAATATTTTTCAATTTTTGTAATTCGTTAATAAATTATTTTCGTAATTTTTTAATTCTTTTAATTTTTATAATTCTCATAATTTTTTAAAAATCTAGTAACTTTTTGTAGTTTTGAAATTTTTGTAATTTCTGCTAATTAGGAATTAAATACATAATTCAAAATTTCAAAAAATGTTCTGAAATTACAAAAAAATAGGAGATTTACAGGAATTATTCCAAAAATGCAGGAATTACTCAAAGTTATTCAAAATTACAGGAATTATTTGTAAATTACGGAAATTTTCTCAATATTACAGAAAATTACAGAATTTACGAAAAATGGAAATTATGAAAAATTACGTGAATAACGAAAAATTACGAGATTTATGGACATTACGAAAAACTATGAAAATTATAGAAATTATTGCAAAAATTTTGAAATTTTCAAATGAAAAATCACTCCATAAAAAATTCTGGAAAATTGACTTATAAACAAAATTAAGGAAAATTCACTTCTTACATTTTAATTTTTTTCTGAAAAACTGGCAGAGGGAAAATTTTGAAAATTTTCCAAGAAGAAGAGGAAAGTGAGGAGCTCATTATAGGAAAATGTCGAAATTTTTCAGTGAGAAATCACTCTAGGGAAAATTCTGGAAAATGACTTTTTCAAGTAAAATTAAGGAAAATTCATCCTCTCACATTTCAATTGTTTCCTGGAAAATTGGCAAAAGAGGAAAAAGAGGGAAAGTCAGGACCTCATTATAAGAAAATTTCAAAATTTTCCAATGGAAAATCGCTCCAGGAAAAATTCTGAAAAAATGATTTTTTTAAGTAAAATTAAGAAAAACTCATCCTCTCACGTTTTAATTTATTTCTGGAAAACTAATAAAGTAAAACTTGTGAAATTTTTCCAGAAGAAAGAAGAAAATGAGGAGTTCATTATAGGAAATTTTCAAAATTTTCTAGTGAAAAATCACTCTAAGGAAAGTCGATAGGAAAGTTCTGGAAAATGGACTTTTTTAAGCAAAATTCATCCTTTCACATTTAAATTTTTTTTTTGGAAAACTGCTAAAGGGAAAATTTTGAAAATTTTCCAGGATAAAGAGAAAAGTGAGAAGCTCATTATAGGGAAATTTCGAAATTTTCCAGTGAAAAATCACTCCAGGAAAAATTCAAAAAAAATTGACTTATTTAGGCAAAATTAAGGAAAAATCATTGAGGTAGAATAATAAGGAGGCGACATAAGGAGAAAAAAGCGTATCCCACTTCCGCCATATGGTTACGACACTTCTGTCTGAGATTCTGTCACTTTTGTCATAGCAACGCGTCAAAATTGCATCAGGGACGCATTTTCCATCCGAAAATTTTTTAAATGCGAAAAATTTTTGAAGCCTAGAATTCCTATTTTGGGTCTTGGAACTCGATTTTTTTACGTTTTTTTTTTGCAGTTTCGCCATGGAGCTCACGGGCCCCTCTCTGGCCCTTAGCACACATGGCACACCGGTAGATACGCCACTGATTGAAGAGGTGTTATTCAGAACGAGTTTATTTATTTAAAAAAGAAACACTGATTCAGTTTTTACCATTTCAGGAACACTTCCACCTGGCAAGAAATTCAACGCCTAATCTCGCACACCCTGACAGTAGTTCAAATGCAATTCTCTCCAGATTCTCAGAACTTATTGTCAGTATCACGTGACAGACGTTGGTCTATGTTTTCCAAAAACTCCCAAAACAAATTCGAGCTTGTCGCCACCACCGACAAACACACTTCTGTACACACGAGGATCATTTGGACTTGTGCTTGGACTCACGACTCAAAATATTTCGCTACTGGTTCTAGAGATGGTAAATTAGTAATGTGGACAAAGAATGCGGACAAAGAGTTTGTGAAACCTTTGGGGCAATATGAAAAAACTAATGCTGTACAGTATCCGGGTCAATCGGTGACAGCTGTTGCGTTTGGACCGGATTTTGTAAATGGGGGATATTTGTGTGCTGCAGGATTTGAAGATGGAAAAATTGAAGTACTTATAATTAAACACCATTCAGAATGTAATGTTATGCTTAATTTGGACACAAGGTAGTACTTGCAATATTTCTTTTGGGATTTTAGCAATTTCTTTTTTTAGTGCGGCACATCATTTGACTGTACGGAAGTTGGCTTTTAGGCCGAAATTCGGACGAGCTGGTGAGAAAGAAGAGAACAAACAAGTGCTACAATTATCCAGTTGTAGCTCTGATATGTCTGTAAGAATTTACGACCTTATTTTATAACTTTTTACTGTTGATTATTAATTATTATTATATGTATATTAATTGGTTTTTTAATAATTTATTTTCAAATTCTCCACCCCTCTTTCTCCTGCCTGGCTTTTTTATAAATATTATTTATCCATTGAGTATCAGTTATAATAATAATCTTTTTTTACTACTAACCTGAGAAATAGTCATTATTCAATCTATTTTTCTAGGAATTTCTCTCCCTAGGTTAATAATGAAAATAATGAAAAATACCTAGGTTAATAATGAAAATGACGTCATGTCGCAAGGATATTGTCATGTTTGTATTGGTTTAATTTCAATTTCATACGTCAATTAAAAAAAAATTAAGTTTCTGTAGGTATCGAGGAAGGTACATAGGAAGTTACAATAAGCTGTTGATAGAGAGTAGCACTTTTAAGAAGGCGTTCAAAAAAAAAAATTAGAGCACAGACTACAAATTATTCATTTTTCACTCAGTAGTAAAAAAATCTATTTCTCGGCAGAGAAAGTCATTATATACCTCACGCATCACCCATTATAAACCTCAACTATTTTAGGGGAGCCCTAACGATAAGTATTCCCTAAAATGACATTTTTACATGGAGAAATGTCAGTTTAAGGCATACCTATTGTTAAGGCTTTCCTAAAATAGTTGGTGCAAATGGCCATTAGAAAAATTAAGAAGAAAACGAAAATTCAAGATCCGGGAATAGACAAAATATGAGATGGAAAAATTGAAAAATAAAGAATAAATAAATATATACTTAGATAATAATAATATTAATAATAATACTTAAGTAAACATCAAAAAATTTGCAAAAATATGGCGGCAGGAGCGTGTCTAACTTCTATATTCATATTCAAAATTTGCAAGAATATGGCGGCGGTACCGAGTACCGAATTTCTATTTGAAAAGCTGAAGTCACTATAGGTGGGCCGGGGCCATTGGAAAGGGTTGAAAAGGAAACAACCAATCAAATACCTTGACGATACATAAACCCCGCAAGCATCTAAACATTTCGGTATAGGATTCGGCACCTAGGCATATTTCATTGGTCCGTTTGAATTCGCACCGCCAATTAATGCGGAGTGCCGAAATCCGTACTTGAATATTGAACGGTGCTGAACCTCAGGTCGGAATGGTATACGTATACTATGTGGAGTGCCGAATCAAAGGTCAAAATGTTAAACAGTGCCCAGCTGCAGGTTGGAATGTTACTCCGTTAGTGCGGCACAAAATCAACAAACAAACTTTATTTACTTTTTGTTACACATTTATTTTATTTCAACGATAAATTTCAAAAAATCTTGGACAATAATTTGCAGTGGCAGACCCAGGGGGGGATTATGAAAACCTGAAACCTAACAAATTAGAGTAGAAAATTTTGAAAATAAATACCCTAATATAGTTATCTTTTTTTTTGGTATCTGTAGTGCTTAGTTTAATTAAAATATCAATTGAAGCCAGGCAACAGAAGTTTTTGGATTTTCCTTTCTTATTATTTCCTTGATCCACTTTTTTATAAGCACTATGATGGCATACAAAAACATATCTAAAAAATGTATTTTCCAAAGTCTATTCGCATCCAAGAAGATTCTACGTCATTGAATTGACATTGAACACAAACCTGCATTTGAATCTGTTATATAGTTATTTTCCTAACAAGTGCGCAAAGTGTTACTTTTCCGCACGCAAACACAGTTATACGAACGACGCGAAGCGGAGTTCGGATAAGTGTTACGTGCGGAAAAGACACTTTGCGCACGTGTTAGGAACTAAATTTTTCCTACGAGCTTCATATCAGGTAGGTAACAACCAAAATTTAGAAAAAAAAAACAATAATTTGTTCAATTATTTTTAATTAACTTGAAGCGAACCTATGCAGTTATCAAAAAATTACATAAGAAGAAAAAAAAAATAACAGAAAATCATCGTCAGAGCCCTTTATCTTAAAACGTTCAAATTTGATGAGAAAGTTTGTAAATTCTTGCATATCAATAGAGAACAAATCTGACAATCTGACAATGCGTCAAAGTTAATTAAATTTGGTGTTTGTATAGATGTTGGCTGATATAGAAACAGAGGAAAAATTTGTCATCATGTGTCAACGTCGACAGGTGCACTTATTGTTGCTTGACAATTATTTTTACTTTTCGGCACTCAGTGCGGATAAGGCCTGTATCCGCACTGAGTGCGGAAAAGTGCAATTTTGAGAACCCAAATGCGTGCGGAAAAGTACTACTTTGCGCACGCTCGTAGGAAAAATATTTTTCGCTGACTTCACATTTCAATTCGTGTATGTTATATCACTATACACTGCTTTATATCGTTTTCTTCCAAAATGTTGGCTCGGTAAATTTGCTCACCACATTGAAAGTGTTTAAATGATCCAGGAAAACTCATCTTGCATGTTTAAGTTGGTTTAAACACAAGAACACATGAAGCAACGGCGAAATAAACCGCATCCGCCGCAAAATTGTAGTTAAGAGGAACACGAAGGAGGCGGACAGCTGATTTAATATAAAAACCGCGCCAAACGCATGGCAACATTCGGACCTGATACTGATACTCAGCACTGTTTAACATTTTGACCTTAGATTCGACACTCCACATGGCTGTTGCTAATGGACCATTCTGCCCTGAGGCTCAGCACCGTTCAACATTCAAGTACCGATTTCGGCACTCCGCATCAATTAGCGGTCCGAATTCAAACAGACCAATTAAATATGCCCAGGTGCCGAATCCTATACCAGAATGTTTAGATGCACCCCGGAAAGGGGCGGGGCTCAACTAACCAATTAAATGCTCTGCTGATATCACTCGCATCTGATTGGGAAGGGGCGGGGCTTATATCCAACCTATCAAATGCTTCGTTGATATCCTTGCGTTTGATAACGAGTTAGCCACAATGTTGCCAGCTTGACGGAATTATCCCCTTTTTGAGGAAATTTTCTATTTTCGTTCGCAAAAGGGTAGAAGCGGAAAGCGGAATTTTTAAAGTCTTGTTTTTTTTTAAAGATAAAAGTCAAAATGACATTATGTTGGCAAAACAATGTTAAATTGTCGATGCTTTCAAATTTTTTTATGTAGAGAAGGTTGGTGTTGCCAACATAGTTACTAAATTTTTAACTTGGGTAATTATCTTAAAAAAAAAGACTTTACTTTTTCTTTTATTTAGTCGCAAAATTTTCATATTCAATGAAAAATTGGTAATTTCAAGTTTCTAGCACACGATATACAATAGGTACACAGACAAGGGCGTAGATATGGGGGGGTAGAGGGGGTAATTACCCCCCCCCAGATCTGTATTTTTTTAAGTAAATTAAAAAAAAAAACTAATATTTTATTAGATGAAAAATATTGGGGCTTAAGCTTCCGGGTTAAGTAAAATATTATTATCAAATAAAAATTCTTTGCTCTTGTTCTTTGTTAGTTGCAAAGCTAGCTGCTAGAATGAGTATAATAGTTATTTTCCTAACTAGTGCGCAAAGTGATACTTTCCCGCACGAAAAAGCAGTTAGACGAACGACGCGAAGCGGAGTTCGGATAAGCTTTGAGTGCGGGAAAGACACTTTGCGCAAGTGTTAGGAACAATATTTTTTCTACGAGTATCTTAAAAAAGTAAACTTTGAATTTTTAAAATATTAGAAAAATCAATCAAATCAAAATCTTCAAAAATCGTTTAAAATCTATTGGAATTCGTCTTTTAAATTAAATCCCAAAAAATCTTTTAACATCTTCTGACATTTTTAGAATACCAGCTAGAATATTTCCATGAGAGTCTCTTAAATATCAAAAATTCTACAAAATCCTAGCAGTACAGGCTGGTCCAATTTGGACACCTTTGATAGGAAACATCATGTTAACTAAGCACTAATTTCAACTAAAATCCTTCATTTTGAGTATTAGTTTATTTAGAAACCATCAAAACATTGGAAAATCAAGTATAACTATGGTAATTATGCGTAACAAAAATGAGTGCGCAAAGAGTTTCCGTGCGCAAAGTTCAACTTTGCGCACGCAAATGAGTGTGCAAAGTGATTACTTTGCGCACGCAAGTAGAAAAATATATTTTCAGAAAACTGTACCTATTATCTATTACTGTATTCTGTTAGTAAATGCCGGGCTGCCGCGGCTGCCCCAGTTTTACACTCACACAATCAGTTATCAGTTAAAGTTTAGTACATTCCCAGAAGAACATGAATTTGGCCATTTACACCATTTTATTGTTTTTTTCTTCGATCTGCGTTCGGCTTACTCAGTGGGCCGATTCCCAAACAGGGACCGAAGTGTCCCTGTATTCACGTTGGTCATTACCTGTAAAAATCTTTCTAACAATTTCTATTGCCAACAAAAGCTCAGACCAATCAGTGTAGTTTAACGCCGGTAGGGGTATTTGCCCTCGGAGTAGTTGTTTCTGACTGGTCAACGAAGTTCGATGTGTCATTTGTCAATTGTCAAAAAAACTGATTTAAAACTAGCATTATAAATAAAGGACCCCGTACACTTCTTATGGGATTTCTGACCGCGGTCATATTCAACCAAATTTTAGTATGTAGATCTCACCTTTCTGATCAATAACTACCATGGGCACAACTTTGGGCGGGTATTATAAAACTACTTTGATAGATAACTAAAAGTTAACTTCTGGAATTTCATAGTTATTCCAGAAGTTAACTTTTAGTTCTGTGTCATAATATTTTCATAATACCTAGCCTTTGAAAAACAGGTAGTTTAATGTCTAAGAAATGTAGGTATACATTTTATATGCATTTACATCTACCTGTCACCTGAGCGTGAGGATACCTGTCCATCCTGACATATTATTAGGTGACAGGTAGATGTAAATGCATATATAGTATTTTTAATACCCATTTAGAATAACCCCATCCTTATTACTCAATCACGAATCAGGTGAAACAAAAAATTACCAACAAAAACGAAAGTCGATTACTAAAACGTCAATTTCATGTACAAATAGGAA